ATTCGATGCAGTAGAATCACACAATTTTTCCACGAAAAAAAGACCGAAGTCGCGGGATCAGCTGAAAAATAGATGCTAACGCTTTTTTAGCGTTGTTTATTCAGAATTTATGCCAAAAGGAACAACAATCAACTCGGACGTTTACTGTGACACTCTCAATAAACAGAGAAAAACCATAAAGGACCGACATTCTCGAAAACTGTCAAAAAGAATCGTGTTTCTTCGTGATAACGCAACTTAACATTCTGCAAACGTTACTAAGGAACTTCTTTGGAAATTCGAGTATTTGTGAATACCTTTCCTACAGTCCTAATTTATCACCTTGTGATTTGTATATATTTAACCTTTGAATTATCGAATTAGCGATACCATTTAGACAAAGAAATTAAAAATGCCACAAATAACTGGTTTTCACAAACTGGATGAAAGTTTTTCAAACAAAGTATTTTCAAATTTATTCAGAGATAAAAAAAATGTAGAAACTTATTTGATGGTTATGTCAAAAAATAGTTTAAAAAGAATACTTTTCAATAAAATAATTTGTTTTTATTTTTAAAAAAACGTATTTAATCTAACTTTTTGATTGACCCACATATAAAGATACACGACACACAATACGTATAATACAATAGATAGTTTGAAAAGATAAAAAATTCCATTCCGAACTACGCAGTATGTTATACCTTTTCGCAAAATAATGCGACCATTTGTTCCAGCGATTAAGACTTGTAGGTAGAGGGGCACGATGAAAAAATGTTTCGCTCTGCTATTTGTATCTCACGCATAGATAATAAAAAAATTAATAGGACATCAATGCTTGTCACACGAGAATTTAAAACTTTTAAGAATACGGTGCCCATTAATTTCATTGTTTTTGTATGTCCTTATAAAGCTCCCGGTAAAACACGATTGAGCTTAATATATTTTATAAGATGTTGCAATATTCTCGTGTCCAATATTTTTTAATTTATTATTAATTATATATTATTTATTATTTTTAGTGTATAATTACACCAATTATTATGATACTAAACTTATATGTGAGCCACAAGCTATGAGCTAAGTCCATCATTATCGGCCTTGTTGTATTATATGTTCAAATGTAATCAAATATAAAAGCTTTAAGCCAGTATTCAAATTGTTATAATATTAAATATCTACAATTATATTTAAATCAAATTGGAAACAGATACCAAGGTATAGAAATTTAATTTATAATTATTTTCGTCAATTTTCCTTCACAATAGGCAGCAGTAGCCAATGAGTGAGTGAGTCTGAATATTTTATTATTATTAACACATCAACAATACGTTGCTTATTACCATAAAAAATTGTCATTTTTTGAACTCGTATCAGATATTTTATATTATTTAAATTAATAATTTTTATTAAATACAGTTCAAAATTTCAAATAACTACATCGCAGTTTTCTTTTATATTTTTCAATACTTTGATCAACTGAGAAATGTACTCAATTGTGTCGTAAAAAATGTATTTTATACTAAATTGCATCATGATCAAGTTCCATATTGTTAGTCTCTTTTCGACAAAAAACAAAAACTATGAACATTGTTTCTTCAAAAAAAACCTTGACTCCACGTGTAATAATAATATACTTTTAGTCTGTGTCCATAATTTTATTATCTATGACTCCGTGTCATACTTATAATTATACGTTCATTATATTATTTTCAATCCCCTTCCCATTTATATTAGACATTTATCACCCACTACTTACAGATAATAATTTTATATTTAGTACAATTTTAATCAATTTCAAAGACATATAAATAACAATATCTATTTAAATCGGTAAAAATAAACGTAATTAGGTTAGTGATTAAAAGCCATTTAGATATAATAGCTATTTTTTTTTAACTGTTATATTAATTTTAATAATACATTACAACCAAACCACACAAGGTTCCTGGTTTTTATTTAAAACATATTTTCACCCAAAGATGAGCTTATAATTACAATTACTCAGACCATACTTAAACATCCACCCCATAAATGTGTTAAATAATACTTGTGTGCTTATCGATAATAACTGCAGCTGACCTGTCCATTACAAACAGAACTGGGCTTTGATTGTAGTTAACAATAGTTATATGAGGTAATAAAAAAAATCCCACAAAAATCAATTAGTCCACAAAAAACTTAACTAGGTAAAAAGTTATTGTGATCTCTTTTATAGCCCTCATCACCAAGACTGTAACACATTTCAAGTTTTTTCTTTCATTCATTTTTTGTTATATTCTTTTTGATATAGTAATTAGTAAGCTTGTAGTTTTAAAACAATTAAAACGTTTATAGCGAAATTCTAAAATTATAAATAAACTCTTTTTTGATTAAGTTTATAAAATACTTGATGAGTGTACAGTGTACACAGTAAATTATTTATTTAAAATAATAAATACACGTCTGGAAAACTTGTAACACTAATAAATAATTAATGATCATAAATTAATGCATTTATTAAGAAATAATACCGTTTTACAAATTGTATTTATTATGTATAATATACTCTTACCTATCTAATCAAATAAATAATAAACCTACATTAATAAATTGTTACCAGTGTAATTAATGATATATAATATTTATGTGTGTATTTTTTTTATCATTATTTATTATATATTTTATATTAATTTATATTATCAAATTCGTAACATACTAATAAATAATTATTATTATACGTACCTTACAATTGAATTAAAAACTTTTTAAATAAGCTACATAACCAACATATTTGCGAATTCGATTAGCTTATACATGTATAATATATATATATTATAAAGTCTTAAATTAATTATATTTTCTCAGACATAAAATATATTGTTTATTAATTTAAGAATTAAAATATGATTTATACAAATCATT